CGAAGTGCCCTATGTAATGTTTTAGGTTAAATTAATTATTAAATGTCAAAGAAATTGACTAAAAATTGAATAACTCAATTTTCAAAAGTCAAAAGACTCAAAAGTACATTTAACAATGAAGAATTACTATGTCATGTACTTATTTTATAATTCAAGGAAAAGAGATAAAGGGAGCTCGCCCTTGTTCTCACTCTTTGTATGCCATAAACTAGTTCCAGGCCTTGTAGGTATAATAGGATTATCGGTAGACCGAGTCCATTGTATGGGATTGTCCACAAAGATATCATAAAGGTTGATATTAGTACTTGGAGTCTTGGACTGAATATATACAGACCAAAATTCGATCTTTTAGTAATGGGTAAATTTATATATTTTCTTAATACTTCTCTCAAATATTGGAGGGAATTGGTTCGCAATTCTAGTAAGTGGAGAATCTCGATTCCAATATGGGGAGAAACACGGTTCTGGAATGGTGAGAATGTTGATTCCAAGTTGATGGGGACAACGATTCTAGAATTTTGTTCATTGCACAAAACCATTGATGGTAAAACCATTACGGTACAAAGAACTAATAGCAAAGGGCAACATAAGCAATATGATGTTGAAACCATTTTTGGTGGTTTCCCCCAGCAAAATAAGCTGAAAGCCATTTCTAAGGGCTTGAATGTTGGCCCTGAAGTTTGTTGCATGCAGTCGGTTTGCATCAATCAATTCGCTCATATGAATCCATGGAGTTAGAAGCGAGAACTTTGTTGTGTTTCACAAAAGAATCCAGTTGAGTTGGTAGGGGACAATCTATATGTGATTCCTTGAATTAGAAAGGAGGAATCAATATTGTAGCTATAATAAAACATTGTTATGGAGATCTTTGACATTTGTAGATAGTGGTGATTTCTTTCCTCTCTTACAGAGTGCAATATAAAGGAGAAGGTATTAGCAAATGCAGGGGTCAAGAGAAAGTTATGTAGGTTTTATAGGAATATAGTTTCACTTCTGGATTTGAGCTGCTACTTTAAAATCTCATTCCATTCCTTCTTTGACTATTTTTTAGCACCTCTCTCTCTCTCATTTTCAATAAAGTTTTGTGAATAATCATAATAAACAAATTAGTCATTTGACTCAAATCTATTCTTCAAGTCTAAGGTATGTATTAAGGCAAGAGAAACAATGTTTATTGCGAATTTTCCACCCCAACTTTAACAGAGCGCATAGCCCACTGAACAGATATTATAATAAGAATGAATGTGCATGCTTCCATCATTCTTATGGGAGAATACTGCAATGTTATAGAGTGCGCAAGGATGGAGATACAAGCATCTCGAAGTGAGGGTCATTCTAGCTGATGTTAGGTAAGGCCATTTGAAGTCCTTTGTCTATTAGGATGAATTTTTAATTATTATTATCCATCAATTTAGGGATTAAAGAGTAGGGGGACCAAGTTGGATTTTAGTTAATTGTTATGGGGCAGGGTGGTGTTGTTAGGATTAGCATGAGACTTCTTTAAGATTTAGTCAGTTGATTACTTTGATTTTTTTATGATGGAAGTAGATCATGTGGATGACCAATTGTGATGCGAATTCATGCTGGGTGCATGAACTTAGGAAAGTGAAACGTCCTAGAAAATAAAGGTTTATTAGGTGATATAAGGGAGCTTAATTTAAAGGAATGGATAGAGTGGTAGGTAATCTTTTAAAGTGATAAATAATACTGTTTGATATTTTTTATATTTATTTTCTAAAGGAAAATATTTTGTTGGGGTTGTAGCCCTATCAAAACACATAAAATATAAAACATTATCTAGACCGTCCATTTTATCCTAAAAATAAGTGTTCACAGATCGCAAGATCTGTACCATTTTTTGAGCTTCAAAGTTCATAATCGGTGTTGGAAATTGATTTTAAACCCATCATGGATATTTTTTATGCCCAAAGTGCTATCTAAACGAGGTTTCGAGATAAGGCTTTACTTTGTTTTCATAAATCCTAGGCCTTATCGAAATTGCAACAATTAAATGGGATGTATGAAAAGGAGGAATGTCCTCCTTAGAGAGGGACCTACATTTTTTTTATGGGAGTTTTCTATGAAAGAAGGAAAAGCTTCCTTGGTGAGGAAAAGAGCTTCTTCTTTTCTTTTTTAGTTTGATTTACATCCATACTTCTCCTATTCATTGCTAAATTTTACTTGTTAATGTTGGGGTTTGTAACCTTTAAAGCCCGTGAGAACATGTAAACACAATAAATATAGTGAATTGTATACTTCAATAGGCATATATAATTGGGTGACTGACCCATAGTTAGGCGATCCATGGCCCCGACACGTCCAAAAACCCTTTTCCTTGGTCATAGGCATTATAATTGATGGTTTATAGTGGGTCATAGCTTGTTGAGATTCACGATATGCCCAACGATGGTTTATAAGCAAAGAGAGCTTTGTGGACTCATGTGTACAGTTGTAGGCTTGTGAGATAAAGGGTTAAATCCTCAACAAAACTTCTGCACGGCATGTATATAAGACAACCGCCTTTTTACGAAGCAACCCTATAGAGGGATACATGTATATATGTAAAGAGAGAGCCCCTTGTACTATGATGATATGCGCATCTGACTTGCTCTTAGGGAGGGACCTATAATCCATACATTGCGACAATGATGCCATTACTTATTGATTAACTTTGATATGTCAGTTATGAGCCCTTACACATGACTGTGGGTCATGGGTCCTATTGGGTTAGTTTGAAAAGACAATTGTGGATCATGCATCCTGGCACCAGTAGAGTGCCTTGAGAGTCACTTATTTTTTGCCTATTAATACTAATCCACTTCTAAAGGTATTTCTTTTTATGTTTTACGAAACTAAGAAATTTTTTTTTTTGCTTTAATTATGATTATGATTATGTAATTTTCCTCTACGAAAAACCTAGAAGGGCAAAATTAATATTTTAGACTTTAATAGGGGCATTTTTTTTTTTTGGGATCCATGTGAGGGACTATGGGCCTAGCTCCCACACATGGGAAGGCCACAAAGGGTGGCAAGTGGGGCCCAAAAGGGCCGCACATCCCACACACACAGTGAGAGGCCCCGAATTAAATTTAATATATTATTTTACTATTTGTGGAATCCTAATTGAATTAGTAGTCCCACTTAGAATAGGATTCCTAGTTTGACCAAAACTCTTAATAAAATATTATTTATTTAAAGAGTCCAAATTAAATTGGGAGTTCTATATGGAGATTAGTTTGACCAAACTTACAATAAAATATTATTTGTTTAAGCAGTACTAATTGAAGTAGGAGTCCTATTTGAATTAAAATTCATACATGGACTAGGACTCCAACATTAATTAGAATTCAAATCAAATTAGAAGTCTATCTTATCTAGAAGTGGATATTGGTCAAAAGATTCAAGGGATAAGTTCCTAAAATTCTTCCCAAATCATGATAGTTGATTTCAAGGATGGATGGCTCAAATTATTTCTCACCCTACAGATTACCTCAATATTTTTTTTAGATTTTATTAAATCCTGATTTAATTGAATCCTGATTTAATTGGAACACCCTAAGGCCCTTGTGGTCTATATAAGGAGAGGAAACCCCCCGACTCCCATAATTCTCTACACTTCCTTCAGCCCTCTCTCCTTCTTTCTCTCTCCTCTCCATGCCATTTCCATTTCTCTCTCATTCCCATTTCTCTCTCCAACTCTCTCACTCTACTCTCTAGGTGGCACATCACCCCATAAGCACATTAGGGTTGTACGCACCACTCAAAAATGGTAGAAAAAGGGGCACACCCAATCCTAGATTAAGTGAGGGGTGTCATTCAGTGGCATATCCCAGAGATTGAAAAGGGTCTAAGAAGCCCTAATCGTGACCATGCTCCCAGTCACGTAGACTTCAAATAAGGGTGTTCCAAAGGTGCTTCCCAGTTTAGATTAGTGGATTCAAAAAATCTAAGGATTAAGTGCGCCATCAATCGAGTGTGGGGTGTGTTAAGTCCTAAGGGTGTGTTAACCCTAGGCAATATTTCAGTAAGTCTTCCTGGTTTCATTTATTTTGTTGATTACTATTTGTTTCCTAAGTTATAGGTTCGGATTCATTTTTCAATACAATTTCTTTTTTGGCAATAATATTTAAAGATCCTAGACTATAGTAGGTGAATTTTCTATTTCTATGTTATATTGTGGCAATTAAAAGTAGAAATTCTAGCTATTAATAAAGAAAACAACAAAATGTTTGAATTTATACTCTGGAATTCTGCACAACTATATCTTTCAGTTAAAGGATCAAAGAGAGGGTAGATTAAGCTTCCCACCTTTCCCATCAATGTGCACTTTTAGTTTCCTAATTGCTGAAGCTTCCACTTCATGATACCACCTCGGCATCTCTGTAACTTGTATGCTCTACTTCTATTATATGTTTTGTATTGATTTTGTTGATCAATGATATGCATAACCTTTCTCAAAATAAGACCTTTGAATACTTAACCATCACTTCCTATGCTCCATTAATCATATTAAGTATTTGTAAGGCAAGGAACATGATATATTAGATGCTACCACATGGTTCAAAGTTTATAAAACAAGAACTGGAGTATCTGATCCACCGAAATCCAGCTTCATTGAGAGCGTAATCTAATAAAAAAAAATAACAAAATAGAAGTATTTGTGTTGAGCAATTTCTCAACTTTTATAATGATAAATCTGTTACAGATGACCAAGGAAGCAAAGACATTCAACAGAATTGCTTGTCTCCTTTCGATAATAAACAGATGTTCAAATAAATTAGAATTGCATAGAATTTTCTAGTAACCATGATTCGTTGCCTAGCTCTTCTTCAAGTTAGCCAAATACAATGCTGTCATCAATGATTTTTCACATTGATAGATTTCTCAAAATTAAACATACGACAATTCATTTCGAGACATATTTCTGATGAGCACCAACTAACAAAGACCAGACCATAAAAATATACCACAATACAACATTGATTACATACAACACATACCTCAGATTCAAGGCCTCGACAAGCATATTCAAGACAGACTTCGAGTGCTGTAAACTCAAAAGGTAACACCTTAGAAGTACCGTTGAATGATTTTTCTGATGCAACTGGGTATAGTGAAGAAACCCCTGTGCCTAAAGGGCTTGTCACTGCATAATGGGGAAACTGTGACATAGCTTTGTCCATGCCGTTCATATCGGTAGCACTGTTTCCCATACCCTTGAGATAAAGCTAACCTCGATTTAGTTAAATGTGGGTAAAAGAGATTGTTGCCAAATAAGAAAGAAAGTAACCATGTTTCCATTGCCTTATATGACAGATGATGGATAAATCTAGAAAAAAGGAATAAACAGCAATCCCATAACATAAATAAAATTTAGACTGGTAGTGATAAAGCTGGAAATATTACAACATAACAAACCATTCACAGATACTCAGATCCTTTAATTAGTACTTGAGGACGTATAGCTGCAGAAACCCCCCACAATTTGCTAAAATGTGCTAGCTAGTTGATTGCAACTGTAACTGTAGTTAATAGCCAAAATTCTTGTGAATGATATTCATCCAAACCATCTAATCTTCAGGAACGATTTCTATATATTCCATTGTCAACGCTGGGTGTGAATAATGACAAAACTGATGAATGAAACTTGAAAACATAAACTGCCAAGTTTCATAATCTATGACGTGCTACCAAGCACTAGAAGAATAAGAAATCTAGGTTAGCATAAGGATGAGTTTCAACTGATGGAATTCACCAATTGTATTTGATTTTCCTTGTAAGTGATGGATGTATCAATAGGAATATCCATGAGAATAATCTCCATTTGCTCAGTCTGAACCATGAGGCATAGGCCACTACATTTTAAAACAGACCCCTGAATTTTTGTGTTCGAGACAAACTACGAAAAGTGCAAAGCCTTCCAAATTTTCCTGAGTGTAGGACATAACTTTACGCTTTTTAAAGGACTTCTATCATTTTTTCATAGTTCCCCAGGTTTGTTGTAATGATGCAATTGGTTACACAACCCTAAAGTACTCCGAACACACATTTTCAGTTGTAAACTTTGATTAATTAAGTTCCACATTTTAACCATTTTCACTTCCTTCGGAATGTTGTAGTATCGTCTTCACGTTTAGTAATCACAAGGTACTCCTAACTTTGTCCTAGGAAACACAAGGCATTTCACCTGTAAACTTCAATTTTCTAAATCTTATGTTTTATGGAGCCTGAAAAAAAATAAAAGGTAAGAATGGATATCTACTAAACTAAATAAGACAATGGATTCCACATGAACCCTAGAACCACTGCCAAGCAGGTTCTATCCAACATATGCAAAACAAGAAAACTATGATTTCTAGGTCCCATATTGTAGCTTGTAAATCTAAGGGATTAGAGCTGAAGTACGAACAAGGTGAAGAGGGAAAGATTCTAATGGGAACACAGGAAAACCTGTTAAAACCATCCAATGAGAAAGTTTGTGATTAATGCAATGATAAGTGGTTAATCTCACCACAATAAAACTCAGTCCCTTGTCTAACTCTTCCCCAATATCCTAACCTAAGGCTAATCTCTTTCCTTAAAAATGCTTCTACTAAAATAATGCTCTGCCATGCCCAAGAAGACCTACTTCAATCCTTTACAATATATATATATATATATATAGAGAGAGAGAGAGAGAGAGATTCCATCTCAGTTTTTAAGGTGCCTCTGATCAAACCAAATATGAATCACCGATATAGAGAATATGCCTCCGAACAAACTAATCATGAATCACCAATATAGAGAATAAGCCTCCAAACAAACCAAATATGAATGAGAGAGAGAGAGAGGTTTATTCAAATATACGATATAAAAAACTCAACACAAATCCAGCCAAAAGAAACATACAATAAATAGAAGACTACTGGTTCAGGAGCAATGCAAAATAAATATGGAAATTTTATAGGAACAAGCCACAATGGTGAAAGCCCATGCAAAAGCATATCTATTCCTTTTGATGGACGGAATCAAGAAACAAACAACAATAAATGATCATCAATCACACAGCACAAAGCCCAACCACATCAAGGACAATTCCATCTCATCAGATTCAATCAAAATTATATCTCTCTTGAGGAATAAAAATTCACTAGTACTATGAAGAAGCTTGTAACATACTCTTCTGGGTGTCCCATTCGATTCCGAAACCCTATTTAGAAGGTCATGAACAAAAGGGGCCACCAAAGGATCCTTAGAATTCAAAACCAAAACCTCCGCCGCAGTAATAACAGCCCTAATATGCTCAAGATTGATCACAATCGCTCTTTCTCTACCTAAAATCGTCGAAGGATAAGAGAGAGCGGGATCAAGTACTCGAAGATCTCGAGCAGGCAAACCAGTTCTCCTCATAATCGAATGCTTGCCTACTTCTTCAAGGTGACTCTGACCAGAAGCCGTGATAACTAGCCATGGCTTAAGACCGGTGGCCCCTTTCCTTCTAGGGCCACCTGGTACCCTAACTGCTTCATCTTCGGCCATGATTTTAGTAGAGATCTTCTGGTTCTTAAACTAGGTATCCATGGATATATTGTTTTAGAGGATTCTAGTGATTTATATGTCGCCATGGTCTTTATCTTTCCTGGGTTTTTGGGGTCTGAAATTAGGGTTTGTTGCGTTACGTTGCGTTAGATTCGGGTCCCCTGCGCGTAAATTTCGGAGTCAAGAACATCATAGAGAGAGATTCTTCCGTCACAGATCCCGCTGTTTCTAGAGAGAGAGAAAAAAATGTTCTAATTATGGCTAGAGAGAGAGAACTTTTTCAAATTTTCCCGCCTTAACATCGTTTGCAAGTGCGATTGCGTACTGAGGGCGCCTTTCGCGTGGATGACACTAAATTCCAACCCTAGCCCGAGTCCCTGTACGGCCGGCTCGGTCCTGGCCCAGGCCGACCCTAAACCTATTATGGGGTTGGGCCTAGTCAAGCCACCTATGTCATGGCCCAAGCTCAGCCTTCGGGCCACATTTTGTGGCCTAGGCTCTAGGTTTTTTTATGGTCGAACCGAGTGTTTTGGGCCGGACCCATTATCATCACATTTTATGTAAATAACATCACATCAAATGTTATTTTCCACTATAATTAATAATATATATATATATATATATTTATCAAAAAAATTTAATTTATCATAAATTAAATATCAAAAATACCCCTAAAAAAAAAATGTCAATACATCGTGATGTGAAAGTATCAAGTGGGATAAAAGTTTCTAAAAATGTTAAGCAAAAAAATGTCAACACATTGTGATGTGAAAGTATCAAGCGGATTGTGAAAGTATCAAGTCGGATAAAAGTACGTAATGTAAAAATGTTAAGCAGATTAAAGAAATATTCTACTAGATAGACTTCCCTATTAAAACCTTTTTTTTATATCTATTTGCTACATTCTTTATCTTATAATATTGTTAAATTATATTTTAGTAAATTTGCCCAAAATTTAAAACCAATAACGCTCTTAGAAGTACCCTATGTTTATACAGTCAAGCCTGTACATGTAGAAATGCAGGTCTATTAATAAATATATTTTTGAGATCGGGTTTTGGACTTAATTTTTAGAGACTTGTAATCTTTAATATAGAGATCTTGAATATGAAAAAATAAATAAATTTTAAAAACTACGAATAATAATTCTAGTAAAAAAACGGTTGGACTGTTAGTTTCCATTGTTTTTAAATGGAATACCTACTTGCATCCACCTTTAAGATGGATGCTTTACACTTTTTGGACCATATATGCAGTCATGCGACGCAATTTCAAGCATTTCATATTAAAAATATGTTGTTCCAATAAAATGAGAGAAATTATAGAATGGGACCATTTACCTTTTGATACAAGGTGGTTGCAATAATCTTGACCGTTGGATGTGAAATTGGGTGGCTACAATTATTCTATTGACTAAGCTCAAACCTCGATAGAAATTTTTTCAAACTTTGTGACACATCCAAGCCATCAAATTTCACATCAAATAGTTACAAGAAATTGTGACCACCTTGTATCAAAACTAAATGGTCTCATTGTATACAATCCCATGAAATAATATGCATAAAGTGGAAAAAAAATATAAAATTTGAAAAAAGTGAACTTATGTGTGAAACTATTTGCAAGTTTATCTCAAACAAGATGCTAGATACAATAAAAAATGCCACATAATCAGTAGCATAGTTAATTTTATTAGAACAATGAATTATCAGTGATAACGAGTATATTCAAACAAACCGTGACACAAGATGATATATTTCCCAAACTAACAGGAAAAGGACAAAACCTCATAATTGCCAATATAGTTTCTATTTTCAAATGGATTCTAAATTCCCACACTGAATAGAGTTTGGGTGCATCAATTATGGTATACTTATGGGATTGTCTACAAAGATATCATCTTTTGTACAGGGAGGTCACAATCATTATTATTGTTTAAATTTTAAAATAGGTGGTTATAAGAGTGTCACTGAATACACATAAAGCTAAAAATATATATTAATTATCGGACTTCATGACTCACTATAAACCATCCAATTTGACATATAATAAAGTGGATGATTGTAACCTCCATATAAAAAAAAAAAAGTAGTATCTTTATATACACTCCCTGTACTTAACAAACTCCAATCAATCAAAAGATGGATTATGGACCTAAAATTTTAGACATAGATAATCTTAACCACTATGACCATAAAAGTAGTTTTTGGATTTTAAGAATAAATTATTTAAACTTTTATTTGAAAAGATAAAGAGTGAGAAGCTGGTATAGAATGAGACAGGAGAGTTGAGAGGAGACATTGGGGAATTAGATCTAAAAAGTTGCTACTTTATATGGAAATGTGTCATTTGCATAAAAAAGTCAAGAAGGGGTTGGATACTTTATATGGAAATGTGTCATTTTCCTAAAAAGGTCAACGAGTTGGATGCAAGATAATGGAGAGATTGCATACCCCCTCTCTCTCTCTAAGATTTAGAAAGAGAAAACAAAGAAAATGGTTATGATAACTTCTCTCCACCTTCTACGTAACACCCAAAACCCCCTCAAAATCCCTCATCTCTCATCCCTTCAACTTCAACTTCTTTAAAAAGTATTTGGGTATATAGAAATTTATTACGTGATAATAGATTACAAAAAATATGATATTTACGTTGTTTGGGTACACTTTAATAATAAAAAAATAGAAAGATGTTATCCAAGATTATCAAACATTTCTCCAAAAATCACTAAATTCATTACTCGCGATCGGGGTGAAAAATCTATTACGACATTGACGGTAATCTTGGGAAATCTTTCGCCATGCAATCTCTTTTCCCTATCACCGTTGAAAAAACATTCGTCTCCCTCAAGTATACACTATATTATATAATGATTAAGGTAAGTAGAAAGTGAAAGTAGGGGATATAAAAGGGAATCTAAATTGATTTGAGCAGACGTGATTAAGGTAAGTAGAAAGTGAAAGTAGGGGATATAAAAGGGAATCTAAATTGATTTGAGCAGACGTAGGAGGATAATTTTGTACGGTAATCATAATAAAATATTTCTACATTCCTCTATCCTGAAAGCAATGGGAAATCTAAACTTGATGAGGGACATATTTCTACGGTAATCATAATAAAAAAAATTCTACATATCTCTATCCCCAATTTGGATTGTAGCCCGCTATCAGCTCTAGTACAAAAACAAAAACAAAAAAAATAAAAATAAAAATAATGATTGATAATCGATGAGAAGTTACATAACACAATCATAATAAAAAATTTCATATAATATAATCCTCGTAAGAGATTAATAAAAGCTCAATTGAAATAAGATATCTCATTAGTCTCATCCAATACTTCACAAATTTCTACTACAATTACAAAACCTTTTAGTTTACCAATCAAACTTTTTCTCATTTTTTAATTTGTACCATAAATATTTTGATTTTGGTATCATAAATTTATTAGTTATTTGAAATTATATGTAGAGAGACATTTGAAAGACTCCTATAAAAAGTAAATAAATAAAAGACTTATCACAATAAATAATAAAATCATGTTAGTCTAATCATATTATTCCACTTATCATGTTGAAATCAAAGTTTAATCATGTTAGCCAAACATAGCCATATTTTTCACATTTTAATGGTAATGCATTTCTCATATTTCTTCCAAACATAACCAATCAGTAGCAATATATTTCCCAAGTTGCATTTAAATACTACCCAAACAGTGACTATCTATTTACAGGTAATGTATCATGCAGTAATGTATTATGCCCATAATATATTTCACAGATAATATATTTCCAAGTATCCAAACGGCCCTTAAATTGGAAACCCCACAATTATTATAAATTTGATGGAAAGGTGGGTTTTTCTTTAATTTTTTATAATGTTGATTTTCATGTTTGTTTTTTTAACCCCATTTGTCTTTTTTGTTGAAAATGGATTTATTATTCTTGTCTTTTGCTTTTTCATTTTGTTGAACTTTTTTTCCCCTGATCCTTGGTAAATGTACTGTTGTCACATTGTCTAATTTTAGTCTTTCCCTTTTTGTGAAATTAGGTTATATTATTTGATGAATACATATGTTTCCATGTTGTTGAAGTGGTTTCTGTTATTACAATTATGACATATTGCGTTTTTATGTAGTCTCTGAGCTATTTCATTCGCTTATGTCTCTCTGATTTTTTGAAGAACCTTTTTTCATTTTTTTTTCATTTTGCGCAAATTGTTTCATTTTCAAGAAATGAGAATTTCTTCTATATTTGGTGATTTTGCAGGTGACAAATTTGGTTCATCCTTGTAAATTTTGGATTATTGTTTATTGTTTTCTTGGTTTTGTTATTCAATGGCCTGCACAATTATTGGTGATTGTAAGATCTTTATTATTAATTGAAAAATTGTTTCATGCGGGCTGGACTGCATTTCTACATATGCTGTCCAAAATTCTTAAGCATCTATATTAAAAATGAATGCAAATATGTAATCCATCTAAAAACAATTGAATCTAACTGTTCAAATGTTTTTTTCATAGAATTATTATTTCTAGTTTTTTAAATTTATTTATTTTTTCATATTTATGATCTTGATGTTAGAGATAACATAGTTTTAAAAATTAAATAAAAGAATCCATCTCAAAAATAGATTTATCAAGGGGCTGCATTTCTACATGTACGAGCTTGGCCAAAAAACTATCTCAATAATAATAATAAAATAAATAAATAAAGAAGACGAATCAGAAGAAGAAGAAGAAGAAGAAGAAGAAGAAGGAGGAGGAGGAGGAGGAGAAAGGGGAGGGTCTTTCGCGAGTCCAGAATTGGGCTTTCTATTTTGTGGAGAAAATAAACATTTTGTAATGTAAACGGCATAAAAACCTAATAGAATTCTAGTGAAACTTAGTAAAACAGGCTTCAATAGTTTACAACCTAAGGTAGTTATTTATTGGGAAAATTACCAAAGAGAAAAAAGGCCCCAAAATCAAACTTTCTACCGCAACCTCCTAATTTTTTTTGTTAGCAATTGTTACCCCACTTTTAATATCCTAACAAATACCCCCAAGTAAAAAAAAAGCATATATATACAAAAATATCATTTTTTTGTACTTGAAAAATTAGTTTTAGTTGGACATCGACATAGGCTGACGCTCATTATATCAACTGCCAGACTGACGTACAATTTTTTTTTACCTATTTAAATTAACAAAAGTGTTGGACCGTCATGTACATGTGCCGGATGCATGTTTATCCAGAAGCAAAAGTGCAAGATTTATCAAGAAACAAAAGTGTCGGA